AGGACTTGTATCGCTGAAGTTTCTCGGAAAGAATTTCTACTGGAAATTAACAAACAAGCAGATACGTAACCATACATTAATTTCTTTGAAATTACAATATTTTGATATTATAGTTGCAAATAAGATACGACAAGAAAAATTAATGTTATCTTTGGTTAAGACAGCTTTTAAAGTTATTGATTGCAATTTAATGATTGCAGAAACAGACATTTAGCAAATACGGTAAGTTAGGTAAGAATAACAAGAAAAAACAGTGACGTGATTCGGTGTTATAGAGTTTGTTTGTTTTGAAGTTAAGCACAAAGCTACACAATTGGTTATCTGTGCTCTGCCCTCCACGGGTATCGAAACCCCTTTTCTAGCGTTGTAAGTCCGCAGACATACCGCTGTCCCACTGGGGGGGCTGTTAGTAGAGTTAAGTGTTTTTGTTTCTTTTCACAAGTTTTGGGTATAAAGTGTGGCGTGATATGGGGTGAGCGGTTGCTCTCTTAGGTTGCGGGAAAAACTAGGTCAACATTACAAGATATATGAAAAATTCAGATTTATTTGTCAAAAATCGTGGGTCGACTATTACACGAGTATATACGGTAAGTAAGACGCAATGCCTAAAATAATTGCTTTCGTAACAAGAAATTGTACAGCTAGAAATAAACGAAAGATTACTCAACTAAAAAATAGGAAAATAAGAATATGAAGTCTGCTTTGATTGTTGTTCAGCACAAAGCTACACAATGGGCTATCTGTGCTTTGCCCACCAGGGGTATCAAAACCCTAAATTAGCGTAGCGTGACTGCAACTTTTCATTAGAACAAAAATATTGTTACGTCTCCGTTTGTTAATTAACTTTCCGTAACTTCGTTCCGACGAAACTTTAGCGACACAAGTCCTTACTTAATAAAACTGGTTTATTCTTCCTGAATATAACTTCACGATACACTCAACTTCAACAAACACTATAATGAACGAACGTTAACTTCAACAATACGTCTCTCTCTGACTGCAGTTCAATTACTCATTACCTACACACACATTATTATCCC